GGACCGATAATGGTTCATGTCAGTTTCATCTCCAGATTTGTGACGTGGTATGATGTATGCGGTTTTCCAACAGTAAGGGTAAGAACTTGATTCGATAGAGAGAGTAAACAGCTCTAGGAGAAGTTGAATATCTGGACCACCGTACTTCTAAAGAAAGGATAAAATCCTGGCTGCTTCATGACCACTCAAGGGTATTTATAGCGTTACTAATTTTCATGCATGTGGAGGAGATAGATTTTATTGGGTTACTAGTCACGCATATAACTCTTGAAATAGCACCCTTTGTGAATTCTTTGCCGTTCGCAAAAATACCACTGAAAAGGTCTCCCACGCATTCCTTCAATATCGAATTCCTTAAATATTTAATAGCGACTTTGTAGGTATGTTATAGATAATCACGTTATTTGGAGAGATCATTCGTTTAGTAACTGCGCTGGCGATAAAATCGATAACAGATTCTATTTTGATACTGTCTTCAAGTTACGCAGAAACTACATCCTTTGACAATGGCAGTTTAAGGTTGGATAGTGTCTTAAGTTCTTGCTCAAGATCATCATGCTTAAATAAAAAGCATGCAAGTGACTACACTTTAAAACTCATATCGCCTAATTGCTTGAAGATAGTGTCTAATTCACTCTTAGTATTATCGATATCTTTTGATCTTGAGGTGGAACTCATTAAATTAGAGACTGAGTCATCCAGCCGCCAGTGTGGTATACGTACACTACCAACATCATCTAATTCAAAAGGAGTGGCAGAGCGTGGAGTATAGATAATAACAATTTTGTTACTCCCTGAAGAATTAAGGCTACTCCGGCTTCGTCTTTTTCTCAGTCGACCCATTCTTCTTGAAGGGTTAATTCTAATGATATTAATGAGTTATAAACTAGTATTCGACGACACATAAACACTTTATGAAAGATACCGTGTAATCGTAACGCAAACTTCAAACTTACCGTAATGTGAATTGTAAATGCCTGATAAGCTTGCATAATGGCATTATAGGAAGAGTGTTTACCAACAGTATGTGAAGCACAAGGCATCGTGTGAGGTAAAATATTTATCCAAGAACAAGCCCAAATGAGCCTAACATCACAAAAGAAGAGAGGGTTGTGTTACTGGCCAGCAAGTATCGATGGTGATGACGATGACTTCAATCCAATCACGTTTGTGAAGCATAACATTTTGTTTATATCAGGCTTTTTATGATTGAAAAAGATTCAATCAATCTATGATATTGAGGCTGTTCTCCAACGCTCCCTATTCAGGCTCATGTTTCTAATTTTATGCTGGATTAGCTATTCTCCTAAAATAACCTATAACAACCTAACTCGGACGTTTACACTAGAGCTGTGTGGCTGATATCAGATGAAAAAACCACTAAAAAATCAAAAAAAAATAAGACATAGTTATTAGTTTTATTAACACTTTACTCTCTTGACGCACTTTCCGTTATAATAAATAACCTTCCTTTTTCTGACTCAACTTCTCTCCCGTCATCTGAATCTACTCCACCTTGTTAAATATCATAACTTATTGTTCTTTGTTACTGCATTCTCTCATTGGGACGCTGTAGTTACATTTCACTCTAGCAACAAGAGATAGTATGAGTTTATTCTACGAATATATCATACCCCTATCTGTTCCACAACAAACGTTAGGCATTGTTTAGTGTTCATTTCAAGTGCCTAGTTGCTCCTTTGTTTCTTTTTTTCAGAATCTTGCTCTCAGGGCTCAGCTATGGAGCTCCTTACGCCTTGAACAGACTTGACGTGCGCGTTTTCTCAAGGTCATGTATGTCATTCCTGTAAAAATGGCCTGTACCCGCCCTGATAGAAACATATTGTTATATGAATAGCAGAGATAGCTTACGCAAAAAATGACAACACCTGCAAGGCTGAGCTTTGCCAGTCGACTGAATTGAATTAATATTTTCGCCTTCTCCATAGTTAATCTTTTCCTCTTGTCAGATTGTTGAATATGAATCCTTTCAGCAATTATATGCTCGGCTTCAAAGGTCGTGTGGCTAGGTCCTACTGCCGCTACACTATTATTCCACCAGAATCAACTTAACGTTGGTTAGATACCAAGTTGAGTTGATATGTCGCGCGCCGTGAAGTACCAAGAACAATAAAAATACCTAGGGTATTGATATGCTGAAGGATAAATCAGAATGAGAGCTACAGCAGCTTGTCGAGAAATACGATTAAGAATGAATTCGTGTATAGATATTTTAATAAATCACAGTATGACGCGTAGTATTACCTGTTAGGTAATGGCTTAACTTTTAGGTAGTACGAGTATGTTGTGTTTAAAAATACTAAAAACAATCGATATTGTAGAAATTTTGATGCTGGCATGATTCTTTGGTTTAAATTGTGAAGTCAAATAACGTCTATGCAGATAAGCTGCCCATATGAGTTGATTCCCAATCACATCCGCATTAGTAGGCTAATTGGGAGAACAAACGTATAACTGTGGAGAAGAATTCCAACAAGTGTCCTTGTTAGTTTCCTAAGTTGTATACGCTTTATTTACTTACGGGGAGATTTTCTCGACTTCATTATAACTTGACCATGATAGAATTTAGTAATGCTACTAATACGTATGAATGGTTGTCAAAAAAATGTTTCTAATACGTGGAAAGTGATAATTATATGAATTTTGAACAGATAGCTAAGTGTAATTCAATAAACATGATTGTATTCGCAAGAGACATGCTCTGGACTCAATGTTCTGACTTGCCATAAACTGTTTATTTATATTTATACCTACCGTCTGATGGTGCGAACAAGTTAGCCACAAGCGTGGAATTTAGTATAAGGCGGAAAACGACATCAATGAGACACAGTGATTATAAGTTGTTGAAATCAACAAACATATGTGCCGCAATTATAGGTGATGTGGAGTTGCACGATGCTTCTGGCTAGCTAAAACTTCATCAGATGGTAAATAGTGAGTGATGCTCATGTTATCAAGGAGAACATAAGTTGTAACAAAGGGAAGTACGACTAACAAATGGTGTTTATGATAATGGCTTGAACCGTAATCAGTGTTGAGGCAAATTCGAAAGGGAAGAAAACTGAGAGAAAACAATGCCATTTTATGATAATTACGAATCAGTTTGTTGACCGATTTTGTAAGCAGTTTCATCAATTTCATCAATCATCTAACGTGATTGTTAAGCCATGACAGTGTTTATGACGATATCCTGAAACCATTATGAATAGGTAGTGCCAGTTGAGGGTTTGGTAAACGTTCAATCAACTCCCGGGCTAGTGATATGGAAAATAAAATTCCAGACTCCGGAAAATCACAAGGATTTGATAACATCCGACCTATAATCCTGAAACAGTCTGTGTAAGTTATCAGAATACTAGTGTGCGACCTGTTCACGCACTCACTAGATTCACACGCACTCCCAAGAAAATAGAGGCTGGCCAATCCCTCTCTTCAGCCTTCAGAGATGATAGAAAGACCTACCTTGTTACAGACCAGTCTCATCACTTCCAATATCGTCAAAAGTAATGGAAAAACTGGTCAACAGACAAACGAGATAACATATTGATAAAAACACCATTCTCCACTAGACTCAACACAGGTTCAGGAAAGGAAGGTCATGTAAGTCCAGTTCATTCAGCGTGGGAACGCTAGATAACCTACCGAGATTTTAAGATACCGATTCACGTAATAATCCTGCATTTCGCAAAAGCTTTCGATACAGTACTCTATGTAAATCTCATAGCGAAGATTACAAAGACTGCCTAGAGAACAGAATGTTTAAGATTTAGGCAAATAAAATGCATGCAGATTGAGAGACCTCAATATAGGGAGTTTCACAAGGGACAGTCTTAGGTCCACTCCTATTCTCAAGTTTCATCAATGACTTGTTAGATAAAATTAGTTCAGTGAAAGATGACGCAAGGAACTGGAGGTCCACAAGAAGCGAAAAAGGTTCACTTGGGCTTCTAAAGGACCTTACAACAGTAGAAGGATGAACAGTAGACAATGGGTTAAAATCTAACTTATCGAAATGTCGTATAATGAACGTTCTGCTCCATTCTACACAAAGCACTTAAAACCTTCATGTAAATCCATTTCCGATTGTCACCTCGGAACGTGATCTCGGGATCGTAACCACAGAGTGCCTAGACATCAGTCTAATTCACACAGGGGATGCAGACAAGGCAAATGCAGCTTTCCAGTTCATGCTCAGACAGCTTGGGGCATCACCCCATGGCTGTTCCTAACACTGTTGAAAATATACTCAGAATCTAACCTTCAAGTCCATAATGTCGTCGTTCATCCTCTCCTCAAAAGAGATATAAATCTCCTAGACCACGTACAGAGACGAGCAATCAACTGGGTGATATAACTAAAATATAAAGAAAAGACTCCAATACATGGGATTATTTTTGTTGAGCTACATGAGAATAAGGGCTCATCTGACAATAGCATACAACACATTATGTACGCAAAGCTACCCCGACAAGAGATATCACAAGAACATAGTCGCCATGCCCCTTGAGGCAACCCTTGAAAGATTGCACATCAAACAACAAACGCACGCATTCACTCTCAGTTTTCTCACCAAGAGTCACCCCTATTCGTAGTACTGTAATACTAACTACATTTCCACTTTGGATAACTTCAAGATGGGATCGGCAACACATATTCACTAGTGGATTACCATCTCACCCTTGCAGCAGCCATGTCTGACTCGTTCTTCACAAATCACCACGGTTATCGTTACCGCATAACCAGTAACTACATCCTATGTCTCATTTTTATTTCCGTTTCTCCCCTATGTTTTCAACTATGTCCTCTTACACATTATCAATCAGGTAAATAGTTAGCGATTCTCAAAACAATAATCTCTCACTACTGGAATTGTTACTGTATTACTTCCACATTATAACCAGTCAACCTCCTGCCTGTAAATGTTATTGCTGCTGGTTTCAAGGATCCCTACTGTCCTGAGACAAACTCACTCATTCAAACTAAATTGTACACAAATCAACAAAAAACGTCCCCAGTAACTGAAGTTTTTTCAGTCTGGCGACTAGGCTACCACTATTGAATATCCCAAGATTCCCGAAACAATAAGAAGAGAGCACAAATAACTCAACTAATTAACACAAGTTCTTGAGTAAGACATTTGGAATTGATGTTTGGAGCGCTAATTCCAATATGTGTGCTACACGGTCTGCTGCTCGTGAATCTGACTCAGATTCTAGGGATTTTAGAATTTTCAGTGTCAAGAGACTTTCATACTTTAAGATACCGTCCGAGTTTAGAGTAAGTTTGCAAACGGTACAACATTTTTTAGGAGGGCAGATGTCGTAGTGTTGCTGAATTTGAAAAGCTAAACCGCATCGGTGAAGGGACATATGGAATTGTCTGTAAGTATGACAATTTTGCTAATAAATTAGACCGTGCTCGTGATACGGTATCAAAAGAGGTGGTGGCCCTGAAGAAAGTCCGAATGGAAAATGTTCGAGATGGCAAGTTTTTTTCACCCTTGAGTTAAGTGCGACAGGTATCCCTATTAGCAGTTTACGCGAAATCACTTTGTTGCTAAGTATAAAGCACCCGAATGTTGTTCATTTGAGAGAAGTCGTTGTTGGCCGAAGCTTAGATAGGTATGTTCTAGTAATGCCGATCATTTTTAGCATCTTCCTTGTTATGGAATATTGTGAACAGGATATGGCAAGTTTACTTGATAACATGCCTAATCCTTTCACCGAGTCCCAGGTAAAATGTGGTTAAAATCTTTATCCGTACCATAGGTTAAATGCATCATGCTTCAGATTTTCAAAGGTCTGAGATACCTTCATGAAAACTTTATAATCCACAGGGATTTAAAAGTCTCCAATCTGTTGATGAATGACAAAGGTCTTGTCAAAGTAGCGGACTTTGGACTGTCACGCCCTACCCATTCCCATAATCCTATGACTCCTTGCGTTGTTACATTATGGTGAGAAGGTTCACTTTAAAATTTTCGTGAATTTTTAGTAATAAAACTTATTTGCGTTCTCATACTAATATCCAGCTATAGAACAGTTGATGTTTTTATTAAGTGTACGTCAATGGTTGTTACAAAAACGACTAACGATCTGAAAAACATCATGACTTAGATGGCTTCACCATATTACTAACATTCTGGCTTAAATTGGTTATCAGTAGACAGGAAAATCGCTTGGTTTGAAACTGGTGTGAGAATTTATTTATTTATTTAAACACATATATATTGGTACAAAAGGGCACCAGGTACATATGCGCCACACAAAATAAAGAAAGTAGGAAGAGAAGGGATGAAAAGATAAGGCGGACTAAAATGTACAACCAGAAGACTCTTTCAAATAGGAAAGTAAGAACCATACTTTATGTAGAAAGTAAAAGAAGGTTGCAGCAGGATCGCCACTGGCTTCTATTCTGAGCCATATCTGATAACGTCTCTAGCCACTGGTGAGATTGGGCAACCCTGCCTAACTCCACTGCTCGAATGGAACAAGGGAGAAAGGTGGTTGTATGCCCTCACTCTGCCTGAGGTGTTCGTGTACAGGGCCTTTAAGATGTTAATGAACTTCTCAGGCACACCCTTCTTCAATAGACAATCCCAGAGAACAGTCCTGTCCAACGAATCGAAGGCCGCCCTGATATCAAGAAACACTACGATTGTTGGCCTGTGATAAGTATGACGGTGTTCTAACATTTGGCGGAGGGTGAAGATGTGATCAATGCATCCTCGACCAGAACGAAAACCAGCCTGCTCCTCGCGAGTCAATCGTTCTCGGGTTTTAAACAACCTACGAAGAATGATAGAAGCCAATAGTTTGGACACAATCGAAGGTAGACTTATCCCCCGATAGTTATTGCAGGAACAACGCGAACCCTTTGTAAAGATAGGGACGACTATTGACTCATTCCATGATGTTGGAACACTTTCTTGCTCCCAAACCTTTCCAAACAACACAGTCAATTACTTAGTCAGAAAGTCGCCACCATCTTTAAAAAGAGCCGGAGGTAAGTCATCTGGGCCAGGTGATTTGTAGCGCTTCAAGAGTTGGAGTTCCTTGCGGACTTCCGCCTCGTTTGGTGGAACAGTCGTCACCGGCCATGGGGGGCAGGACAAGCTGGTTGATGTTGCCGGAGCAGCAGGCCAGTTGAACTGCCCTTCGAAAAATTCCGCCTATCGTCCAAGATGTCGGGAGATGTTAGTGATTGGCATCCCATCATCCTCGTAGATTGTTTCACTCACACCAGACTTCTTGCTGCCAGTGGCTCGGATGAGTTGGAAGAGCTTCCGGCAGTTACCAGATGCAGCTGCTGCTTCCATCTCATTAGCACGCTCCGACCACCAGGCTTCTCGGTCCTAAGCAAGCTTTGCCCGATTTCATTACGTAACAGCCTTCGTTTGTGGTCAAAATCACGGTCACCCGGAGTAGACCGACGGGCTTCGATCAGTTGTAAGGAGCCAGAAGAAACCCAGTGCTTGTAAGCGGGACGTTTCGCGAAGCCGCAAGCGGCTTTACTCGCCATTTTCATGGCGTCGTGAAGATGCAACCAATGCTCATCTATACTTTTTGGTGGGGTGTTAGCTAGTCTAGAGGCTAGCTCCGCTCAATACTTACTTGCAACAGGAGTTGCAGCCAGTTTACTAATATCAATCCGTTGGTGGTGGTCAATCCTTCGGCCACTGAAAAGTAAGGTGAGATTGGCGCAGACCAGGGCATGATCAGACTCCAGATAGGTACTCCAAAAGGAGCGGCAGTCTTGTCCTCTCACTTTCGTAAACAACACCCCCGCCACGAGAAGGCAGTGAGTAGGACTTCCCTGGCAGAGGCTATATATTCGCTGGCCATATGAGAGCATTTCGAGAGGGAGAGTAGACTCTCCCCACTCTCGGCCGTACCAGGGCATTTGGGGGCAACATAATTCTTTTTCATGCCTGAGCACTTAACCGATAGACCACTGAGCTGTGTGAGAATATCCACCAAGCATTTCAGTCCCAGTTGACATACTCGACGAATACACATACCTCAAGAATCACTTGCAGGGATCTATAGGGTCCCATCATTTTTATTCTATTTGTGTCTTCTAGCCTTGATTTTACAGGTGATCAGTCCCAATGGTTGCAATCGGACTGAACAACATTACCCATTATTTCAGTCTTCACAAATAACGAAGGTAGACCATTTTACCTGTGTTAACTCCAGTTTGTTTTCATGTAAAAATCCAGCTTCTCTGTAGAAGTGTTTACTGATCGGGTCGATACCAGGACATTTCAGTCATTGACTGTTAGATGATAACAGAATCCAACTCTGAATTTGTCCAGCTGCTGTTTACGAAACCCTTAGCAATCGCCCAGATGATTAGTCCTTTGGAAAGCAAAACGCTAAGACATGTTAACACTGAAATCATTATTTAAGATACAAAGTGTCAATATGAGGTTACATCAGATTCTACGATAAGACAAGGGTAAAAGGTCCAAACGTTTCAAACGCTCATTGTATAGGAGATTGGAAAGACCAATCAGTAACCTAATTTTCACATGTTAGACGCTCGAGTGTCCTCATAAAGGCATTAGAATGCTCTATGAAGTGACCATGACATTCAGAATCTTATGCAGAAGCTGCATTGCAATATGCAGTCGCTCTCAATCCACAGCCTACTATTACTCCTGTCTTTTCTGCACTCGTGAAAGCGATGTGCCGCTTGCAGTATACTAGTATCAACTACCGTGTCCAATATGCATTACCACGCTTTCTAAAATTAATTTCCAAACCTAAAATTTTGGACTATGAAACTGACCCGTCTGGATCAGTTTGGAAATCAAAATGGTTAGTCTGACTATTTGTTTTTCTCCAGATTTTCACGTAATCTAAACACAAGTGTCGATAACTTAAACAGACTTTGTGATTGATCTATGTAGAGTAGAAAAATAGGGGAGCTAGGATGGTCCAATGAGACACATCTGCGTTGCTCAGCCGTTGGCAGATTTTATGATTCTATATGACTTAGTAACTTAACACGGTTTATTTTCTTAAATACGTTAACTACTGTGCTAGTTAGAACTGACAAGTCGGTATTTAGACACAATTTGTCTCTTTCCATACCTAAATATAGGACCAACGACAATATTCAATCATTAGGGAGTTGAGTGTGGGGACGCAACATGTTAGACAGCACTGTGAGGGGTTCTGAAATGTTGCCAACGAGGGATGACAGCAATCGTGGGTGTAGCACATCAGAGTCGGATGAATCGACGAGTTCAATGTTTATAGGTAATAAAAAAACAGATTCTTCACTCACAAGTACTTGTCTTGTAGCTGTTGTTCCTGCCATGTCGCTGTGATAAATATTAACAGCAAAGTCGTCGTAGTACACTGAGCTGAAATGAGTTGACAATACCTCGGCTTTAGCCGTACTAGATTCAATGTATTTAGACCCTCGTATAACAGTGATAGAGGAATTCTATCTCTCCGTTTAATGTAAGGAAACAATTTTTTGGGGTAAGTACGGCCATCATGTGCCAACTTTCTCTCGTAAGTAGCAAGGCATTTAGCTAAGGTTATTTAACGCATATTCCAGATTTCCGGCACTCGCTCTTAAATGCTTCATGATCCATCGGTAGGAATAAGTCCCGGAAATTTTCTCTTACGCCACAGCAACTTCCAGATTTTCCTATCGATCCATCGAGGGCAGTGTAGTTGCTTTTGTGTTGAGCGTGGGATGTACGGTGTTTGAACGACGTCGAATATTGCTTTAACATTACTTCATTCGTTTTCACCCAACTTATCTGCATTGACTGATCAATTTGTTGAGATAACACAGTCTCTGATTGCCTGAATGCTGGCTAGCCAGATATCAGGATGAATTTTAGTAGATCCATACTGTACATTGTATCTGAAACTTGAGTTACAATACGAGGTGATCGCTGTTTGCCGATGGAGTTAGGCGCTGAATGTCGGTAACACCACCACTGTGGTATGAAGAAAAAGTGGTGCACATGGGCTCCAGTATCCTGAGGGAACAAATGGCGTATGAACCAATTGTTGGTCACCGGCTACCATGTGACTTCATCTCCTCACGATGCTCCATTGCATTATGGATCAGACCTTTATGTCAAAGGTTCCGAGTGTTACCCCCTAAGAAAACCACCTGCTTCAGTTTGGACACCTGGGCAGTATCACAACCTTCACACAAATGGAATGAGATATGTGCGGCGCATATGTATCTGGTGCCCGTTTGTACCAATATTTATGTGTTTAAATAATAATAATAATTCGATCCTCAAGTAACAAATCTGACCAAATACGAATATTCGAGCTACAGATTTTGTATGTGTTATTTAGTATCACTTCCCTTTCCTTGTTTTTTCTGAGTACTAACTTTAAGGTCCTCTTTTGGTTCGGCCTTGCCTCCAACCAATTTGAGTCTTTTTACAGTAGTTATATGTACTCCCCAAACCTCTTCTAGCAAAACAATTCTGATAGCAAATTCCACCAACTGCAGAACATGCGCATACCGTCTAGCAGACTGATTATCTTTTGACTCCAGATTCCAAATAATTAAACTCTAGATGGACTCGACTTCCTTGAAAGTCATGTTCACGGCTTTCTTTTGTGTTTTCGCCGTTCTCTTCCCACTAACTATCAGAAGCTTTTCTTTAATTTTCCTTTGTGTTTTGACTTTTGGAGCAGTCTATTCATTTATTATGTCCAATTTGTCTTGGGAGAGATTTCCGCTCCCCACAGATCTTATGGTTCTAGTTACCTCGCCAGCAGTGTTTAGAGTAAGCGCACTGTCGATGAGTAATAGTTTTTTTGCCCTGACAGTGTGAGACTTTTTGAGATTGTGCGTAACGGTAGTTTGGACAGGGGTTTTATCCCCTTCCGGCGTGTCAATAATGATAGTCCCAACAGGAATCTAACATCTCAAAACGTGAGAAAATTCACTTCGTTTATTAAAATCGCACGCAAGATTACCTATTGTTTTACAACAAACGCGTTAAAACATTTGTGCACTTTCTCGTTCCTTTGTAGTATGTTTTCAAACCAATCTTCTGGCTCACTGATTAGATTATGGAAATCATTTACAAGTTTGCATTCTTTTGGCATTACGATCTCCTATTTCATAACTATATAATTGGTTTTTCAGAATGTTCCCTCCATTTCTTATCTGGTTAATATGCAGATAAGAGTTTCAACCTTATGATGTTTGTACTCGACCTTAGTTTCATATTTTGACGCTTCACACCGATGTAAACATAAAGCAGTATAACCTCGTCTGCGATCAGTCAGTTGTAAGCTACTCATAACTTTAGACATATATGTCGACCTAAGTCCTCATCGGAGGGAGTTAACTAGATGAATATAAGCGAGAAATTGGTGTCAAGTGCAGTAAAAAATGAACTCGAAATATAATTTACAAGGATCTATCTAACTGTCTAAAATGACATCATGCTTAAGAATCATTGTAGAATTAAAAGTGACTGCATCTATTTCTTTGAGACTGATATCGAGTAATCTTTCCTGCCATCCACCGATAACAATTGCCTCACAAACTACGACCAGGAAGTCTGTATATTTGACATAGGTAAGTCAAACAGTTAATGGCTTCATTTAATGATACTCTGTTGATTTAGGTACCTCTAAGTCTTTCCAAACTGCTCATACTCTAGCCAAAATAGCACAACGGAAATAATCAGAGTTTGCGAATGCGTTACACATCTCAGCCACTACAGTTAAAGAGAGCTCATAGTATTTAATCTACCTAGTGTCTTGATGGTTTCTTTACACAGGATTTGAATATTTGTTCTCTCGTTTCCACGATTATGTTATTCTGCAAATTGAAGTTATACATGATTATTAAATTTAAAGTTGCCTATAATTTTTAACTCGTAGGTACCGAGCACCGGAAATTTTACTTGGCGATAAAAACCAAACTAAAGCTGTTGATATATGGTTAGTTCAAGTTACTGTGTTTCATCCTAGTTTTGAAATATCAGGTCAGCCGGCTGTATTATGGGTGAACTTTTATTACACAAACCGCTTCTTCCCGGGAAGACAGAGGTTCACCAACTGGAGTTAATTATTGATCTATTGGGCACTCCGAATGATCAAATTTGGCCGGTATGTCCAAGTTATGTACTTACTTGTCTTTGCTTTAGAATCTTTCAAAATTACCAGCTTTAGAAAAAATAAATTTGAAAAAGCAACCGTAAGTTTGCATAATCTATCATTTGCTATCTTGAGTATTCAGAATTTCTTGTTCCCTTTTATCTGTTTTTTTTTCGTTTTGTGTGAGTGGTTCCTGGTCATCGCACCATCGCGTTAATAAATTCCACTTATCACAATCTAATTTTTAGGTAATTTGATGGTAATTGATAGGTTTAAAGATTCATTTAACAATTCACTTTATATATCATATTCTTCGAGGAGGTTTCATTTTAGCAAATAACTGGGATTGAGCAACAATACTTGATTTATGGTCCTATTGATGTTTGCTAAAAGCCCTAAATAACTAACTACCATGTATCTCCGATGTTCCCATTCCTAATTCTTAGAATAAAGAATTATAGAACTAAAATACTTTAGCGAAGTTTGTTGTACAATTTCATTTCTAAAAACTGCACTACTCGATTTTTAGTAAATGTGACGATTGGATACTAAATTTTAGTTTCAATTGTTTTAAATCCTCATCGACTGATGTGATTAACACACGTGCTACGTATGCCTGACCATCTTTCGATTCGACAGGCGATGTTTGCTGTTGTATGCGAGTAAGTTGGAAGGAAGCTAGGTTTGGCCGAACGAACTTAAGGTATCAATCTATGGAGTCATTGATAGTTGGTCTGAGCTAAACCATGTTGGTGAGAGCAGACTACCTGGGTAGGGTTTGTGCGATAACTGCGATCAGTGTTTGAAAACATCAGATGATATAAATTGTTCTTGGTCGCGGCTGTATTCATTCTCTATTTCCTCCACCTTTAGCTCTTCTGGGGATACTCCCGGTCCCAAGCTCGGGTAAAGGAGGAGGGTTGGACATAGGATTGACATCCCCCTTCCCGTAGAAAACAATCTTGCTAAAAAAACGCTAACCAGAATGAACCAGTTAAACCATTTAAACACTGTCCCAGGTTTCCTGAAACCTCGCTTCAAACTACACATTGGATCCTTCTACGTACACACCCTGGGTCAAATCGGTCAACAGGCCTCCTTGGCTAAGACCCTAGGATCTCGTACGATTTATGTATGCTGTGTCTTCGAAACACGCATTCAGGATCTTAGTATGGTCATTCACTTGACCTCACCTCGCCAAAATGGATAGCCGACAAAATACACTCCGTGTATCTGAAGACCCTATGACTAGTTCTCGTGGACTTGCAGGTGCAGGCATAGCACGTAGTACGAGGGCAGAAAAAGCACTATTAGAATGGATCCCCGTTAATTATCGACTGTGTGCTGTCCGGCTTAATGGCTCCGTAAGAACTCGGAAAGATAGAGAAACATCAACATCTATCAGTAATTTGAACCAAAAACTTACAAAAAATCAATGAATTTCTTCTAAGTCTATTGCACTGATGGATTCTCGCAAACTCATCCCATCATGCTCTGAACACGACGAAGAGCGTAAACAAATTAGATCTAGGTTAACGAAAAGTCAAAGGAACGACCATGAGCAGTGGTGGGCAACGAAAGAAAAAGAGATAAGAAAGGCAATGGCTGTAGTCAACACCAGGCAACTCTTCAGACTAATAGAAGAAACTGGAATTAAGAATTCCTTGGGAAGGCTCTTTATTCGAACATTACCAGTCCAGTGAGAGCTAATGGCAAACTGTCATCTGACTTTAAAACCTCAAGTGGTGTCCGTCAAGGCTGTCCACTATCCACATTTTTGTTTAACTTAATTATAGACCTATTGCTGGAAATAACACTCTCTTCGACTGAATTTTCAGGAATTGATCTCCTACCAGGGGCTCCATTAAGCGACTTAGAATACGCAGACGATATAGTCCTGTTTGGTGAAGACTCTGACAAAATACAGAGTCTTCTGTTAGCACTGAGTAACAATGCTAAGATGTTTGTAATGCGTTTCTCCCCATCCAAATGTAAATTGTTACTCCAGGACTGGCCTGCGTCAACACCTGAACTAAGGATAGGGAGTGAAGTAATCGAACGCGTCGACAACTTCACTTATCTTGGAAGTCTGATCAACCCTAATGGGTTGATGGTGTCTGACGAAATCTCAGCACGGACTCAAAAAGCTCGTTTGACTTTTGCCAACTTACATCACCTATGACGAAGACGAGATATCCGTCTATCAATTAGGAGACGAGTATACTGCTCAGCAGTTCGCTCTGTTCTACTTTGCGGCTGTGAAACATGGCCATTAAGAGTAGAAGATACTCCCAAGTTACTAGTATTTGACCACAGATTTCTTAGAAATATTGCTCGCATCTGCTGGGATCATGGCTTGGATCGACGCATATGTGCGCATGGTTCTACGTTGTAGCTTACTGAAAATACCAGGAAACGTTTCCAACAGAGTGTTGCTGACCCGAATGAAGGGTTCGGTATTTGCTCAACTTCGAGATAAATAGGTTGGATTCCGTAAGAATCTGTTGTGTATCGACCAAGTTGCGACATCACAAATCACTGCTGAACAATCAATTGAATGGAACTCGTCACTATAAATCAACTTCCTTGACTATGAGAAGGTGTTTGACAATGTGGATAGGAGAACGTTCTTCAAATATATTGTATGAGTACCTGAGAAAATCGTCTGCATCATCCGGAATTCATGCAACGGATTACACTACAAAGTCGTGTATGGAGGACAGGAGTCAGACAAGGCTGCTTACTTTCTCTTTTTTTTGGTGGTTGACTGAATTATGAAGACCTCGACATCTGAGGGAAAGCACGAAATACAATGGATAGCTTGTATGCAACTAGACAATTCGGACTTCTCAGATGACCTAGCCCTTTCACGCTATACACACGAACAAATGCAGGTCAAGACATCCAGTGTAGTAGTAGCAGCAGCAGCCTGTGCATCAGTAAGCGTCAACACATACTGTGAGAAAACGAGGTCCTCAAATACAACACGGAGAACATCAACCAATATATATATATATATATATATATATATATATATATATATATATATAAGGTACTACATATTTCTGTGAATTGAAGTTTCAAACTGAATACATGTTTTATTAAGAACCAGAGAGAATGTATACATGCAAATCCCAATCAACTTATCATTTTGGGTTTATTTTGTAGCCTATCCATTCACAAAGTTGTTTATTATGTTTTTCGCCTCATTGATTTCCTTTTATTCTTGCGTATTATGTTAACTTAGATTGATGAGTGTTGGCTATTGGTTTTTTCGCTATTTACCAGTTTGTTCGCTACCATATCTTTTAGTAGGGCACTGATCTCGCCATCTAGTGTTAGACCTCACTAAGATTGATTATCGTCTATTATTAATTTAGTCGTAATGTGTAACATTATTCACATTATATTTTCGACATTTTACGTCAGGTGCTTCATAACCCATACACAAGACTACATAGTAATAAGGAGGAATGAAGTCAGTGAAAATCTTATTTTACTTCATTCTTCTGTCATCAATCTATGAAATCTAACTTATTATTCTTTTTCTTTGTATGCAAATTATTTTTAAAGTTTTATTCACGTAATTTTTCTCATTCGCGCCCTCCAGGTACAATAATTTGCGCCATACTTTCCCATGGTTGTCAGATGCTGGTTTGCGTTTATTAAATTTTTTGTTCATGTATGATCCGTCTAAACGGGCTCGGGCTCGTGAATGCTGTCAGAGTTCTTATTTCCGTGAACATCCTTTACGTAAGTTATTGACTAAAGCTATTATCATTATTTCGTGCAATTCCATTATCAATATTTTATTTAATTGAATGAACGTTTTTTTGAATTCGCTTCTCATAAAGCCTAATGTTGAAATGCGAAATCGTGGTATGTTATTTTTATACACATTAAGAGTTTATGAAAGTTATATAAATGATTTGCAACAAGTTGAGGTTGATAAATATATTCATGTGTTAACAAATAACATGACTTAAATCAAGTCTTACCTCACCAATCTGTGCGTAATGGTTAATTTGCAATACTTCATATAAAAACTATCGTCTTGAACATATATTTGGAAATTGTGTCTTACTGCCTAGTTTTGACTAAACGAGTTTTAATAAGCCGTTTGCATCTATATAATTAGTAACTGGTGTCACTAGGACAGTCTGTGAATGTCTGACTTTTGTGCATCAAAACGCAGCTTAAAACTCACTATGTTCTGTTAAGTTTTTTGAAACCATTTTATTCGGTAATAGTTTAAAGCATACTTTACAATCTTTATTTCATTTCTATAAACAATTATCAATATATTTATTTGGTAAATAGTATTTATTTAACTAAAGCGATGCAGTAATCTTTAAGAACAAATAACATTCTTAATTTCTCTTATTTATCGATAACAGCGTGCGAACCTGATATGATGCCATCTTTTCCGCAACATCGATTAAAGCGTAAGAATTCTCCTGGTGAATATGATAACAAAGGTGCTAATCCAGCTCAAGATCAAACTGCTGGATTATTTGATGCTGCCTTCGATAGAATTGTAAGTCTTTTTCTAAAGAATTTTCATTATGAATCACCTACTTGTCTTTTATTGGTCAATTTGCAGAAAATTTCGAATTCCTTTACTAATTATTTACTAATTTTTTGAATAGTTGTTAATAAATTGTAGGCGTCATAATTTTTAGCCGCTAATATCATGTTTTGTAGAATTGTTTAGATGAAGAATTATCGACTTTCAATCTCACGTTAATCTGCTTATTAAATAGATTCGGTCGACGTTTAAACAATAAAATCCAAATAATTGTTGTTACTTTAGTTTTTGTAAATGAATTTGTAGCATTGATTGGACTAAATGTATAAGTGGTAAATAGTTTCATTAAACAATCGTGTTTCTGTACTCCTAAAACCAAAAAATGTTCTATTCCCGTCATTTTACAGAAGTTGCTGAAGTCCGTATATCTGTCATTCGTTTTCTCATTCAATGAATAATATTCAACCTAACCATAAATAGTGATATACTTGATGCTATTACGAGTTCACCTTACTCGGTAAACGGAACAAAGGTCAATGACACAGTGACAGGAAAGGCTATTCTAATTCTTTGTCGCCGGCCCTGCTAACTAGATCAAGAAGGCTTAATGAGGCGTAGAGAATGTATTCTACAGGCACTCAGAAAAGACGAGATCACTAAGCACACAAATCAAGCTTATCTATATAATGATAGAAACGCCCTAGGGAGAGCCACAAAATAGCTTACTAAAAAAATCCGTCAACCAATTACAGTCAAGGATTTCCGAGTGGGAAATATAAAGTGCAGGTCAACTAAGCGTTTCTTGGCGCGAAAACAGAATAAAATTACATAATTAGGACATTTTCCAAGTGAGTTCTGGGGATTTAATGTCCCCAACAAATAGAAACTCATTTATTCATTGTATCAAAGGAAGCTCAATTTTAACTATCTATTTATACACTTTAAAGCTATGACTTAACCAGTATAGGTTCTCAATTTTCAATCAGTGAATCTTCAATCTAGAGCTTATTGATTGTACCGCTATTTGTATGAATAACCATCAATAACATCAACACTTAGGGTTTCTCATAAACTAGGAAGTTGAGTGTGGTTGCTTTGATGCATAATTGTTTGATACAAAGGTATATGTGTACCGTCAAGTGTTTAACAAATTACCTCTTATAGCTCTTTTCTGTTTCATTACTTCTCATGACAATCATTGTAACTTTATGCTATGACAAAGTAGTTATAAGGAGTTTAATTTTAATGTATTTTCTATGTAAGTAGGCAACAGTAATTAAAAAAACTACAGTTCTATAAGTGTTCATCAATTTGAATAATAAGATCTTCCATGTGACTATTTTTAAATCCTACTTTTCTTTTCTATTAAGCGTAATTCACAAATTATGAATTTTATATGTTAATCAAAGCTGTACTCATTCTGTTGTTTTGTTTCCAGGTGAAGAAACGTCGAGCTTAAGCAGAACCAACACTATAAATTTTAAGACATTTATATAATACATTTGTGCATTTCTAATTTCTTGGTGTTTTTAATTTATTCTCCGTAGTCATTCATAACCGTCAATTTTTCACGTCCATTAAAATCATAATTAACTTCTTACCGAAGTAATATTAACCATCTCAACTGTAATAATGTGTTTAGACAAATTTTCAAATCTTTACTTCTCTAGTTTATATTGACGACCTGTTTGTTTAAAATAAAGGTTTTTTTTTCTCAGAGTTGTCTGAACCCAAAGATCAATTTAAAAGCGAAAAACACATCATCAGCGCAAGCATCACACTAGAGTAAACTTATTAGGTTCACAATCAGTAACCTGCTTCCAGGTAATAATAAATTTCAACAATCAGATCCGGCTTTTTCCAGTGGTTCTCTTCTAATGAGGGTCTCGACGTTTTTAAAAAGGATTTGTTTATCTGCTGTGGATATTTTTGTATGATTGATACATAGACTACCGTTTCTGTTAATTTCAATATTGCTTTTTAGAAATTCCCTATGTAATTCTCTTCGCTCAAAACCACTGTAGTTTTCTAGTAGAAATCATATCCATAATTATCCATGAATATTTATCTTAATAGTTAAGTATCATAACATATCCAGTATTATGTTGTTCTCGGTTTATATAGTTGCTCTTTTAGCTTAAGATTTGTTTTATTCACATCCTATACGAGGTTTATTCAGTATTGTTGATTGCTTAGCTGTTAACATTCATTCCATGTTGTTTTAAAGGTCAAATGGATATTTCTTAGACGTTTTATATATTTGATAGAACTATTCATTTATGTGTCTGCAGTAAAACCTGCGTTTCTATTAAACTTATTAAACGCATAATGAAATCGCATGATAACTCAATATTTTGAAAAATGTCATCAGTATGGGTTTGTTGTATTCTCGATACTGTTGTATTTAGAGTAATATTTATTTGTGCGCCTGTAGTGTCTAACTTTGATTTTGAGTATTGTGTACTGCATTAGTAATTCATACATCATATTTCGAATCGTAAAAATTAGGTGGGATCTTAGTTCGTTTTTTTGCATAAATAGTGCATTGATATCTTGAGTCTAGACAAAAAAATAATATTATATTCTAAAAATGATTACAGAACGCATGCCAATTTACAGGCATGATCAGGTTGACACATTGCGATGCTTCATGTAAAGGACATGTATGACTTGGGATTGTCTGAAGTTATATATTTATAAAAGTATATAGCGAGTAAAGCTCACATGAATTACAACAATCTGAGGTATCAGTTGAGAACCTTTAATTCTTTGTAAGGGTACTAGGACATCCTGATGGTGTTTGAACAGTTTATACAGAGTGCAATCGCAGATTAATCATAATCATCTACAACAAAAAAAAATGAAACGGAAACAGCACAGAATAACAATAGCCATGATCAATATGATAGGTCCACCATTATATGTGTCAGGTTGTTTTATTATCTACTGTTCAGGATATATGTCATTTAAATTTACTGGGGACGATCTAAATGTTAAATATATACCGAAAAGGAACTACAATAAGTGAGCTCAGTACTAATAATCAAATATTTAATGTTCATATAATCTCTCTAATGGGACGGATTATATATTAGGGTGTAAGCATATTTAAGACAGCTTCAGAGGATACATGTGGACATTCAAACTACAAAAACATGGTGGGACTGCTTTTATTTCGCGGATAGATCAAGGTAAACTATTCCAACGTCTCGGAAATTTACTGGTAAAACAATTCAGATAGAGAGATTGTGAATAAGCCGCTTCATTAATCATCAAGAGTTACAGATGATATAACTAGGCGTTACTTTGTATTACATTACGTCAGTGGATGTAAACGGTACTTCATTAAATATTTTAACAAAGAGAGAAAACTTAGCTTAAGACTCAACCTTTATAAAGGATCAAATCCAAGTTTACTATAGTATAAGGAACAATTCCAAGAGTTCAAAGCGCAAATCTGTGAACGGATTCAAACATTAATTTATCCTTTATATAGATACTACTAAGAACAGAAATATAAGGCTTTAAAGTGTTTTCCCACTTAGTTTGCAAGTGCTTGGCGTCTCCGCACCACCATAAAGGATAATCTTGTAAAGAAGAGCGAAGATCGGTGGTGAGTTTTGAAAGCTATATTCCGGTAGAGTATGCATTCAATGTGGATTTTTTTTACTTTACAAGACATCTCAGATTGTCCATAGAAAATTAAAAAAGAAACGATTGAGATTTCCTTTACTGCATCACACCCATCTAAAAACATCGGATTCTAGTGTTGTTACGCTCTGAGGTCTACCAAAAAAGATAAACGTTTATTTTACTGAATCCTAATCCGCTACACGATTAGGAATGTATATCCCTGATATATAAGTCAGGGTCTTGTTAACGTTCACAAATCGTCCCAACTAATAGCTTGTCTATAGTGTTTATTACCTACCCTTCACATAGCTTGTACGCACAGCCACATGGTATGTCTGGATTCACCTAGCATATGAACTGTCCTTTCTACCACACAACAAATAATGATGAATATTCATTTTTTATGGGGATCTTTAAACTTCTAAAATAATAATGAAAAAACGGATACCAAAGAAGTGCATTTATCTTAACATCGTAAAGTGATCATATTCGCTTTTTCAATTAGCAGTAACTAATAATCTTTTGAAACGTCAAATCAAGGTTGCTAGTTTCGTTTGATCTAAGTTATGTTTCAGGTTAAATAATGTTTTTTGTTTCTAACCATGTTTCTGACCATATTACATGGAATAAAATGCGTGTCAATGTAAAGTCATCTTAGCTGGTTGCTTCGTTAAAACCTCGCTGATGTAACGCAGGTAGTCGGATAGTTCAAATTCATCAAGATGGTACTTAATACATAAATATCTTCAAACACAACTTAAAGCAATAGATCTTCCTCCTTAATTGACAAAATAGCCTTTTCAGCAGTGATTTACGACAATCCACGAAAAGCCTATATACCAGTAGGCAAAGCAAGTGTTATGATCATATACAACGAATTCCATCGATAAACTGCTTTGTAGCAAAAGCAACGAACAATTTAATATGAAGTAGATTTATTTTGTGTTCTCTAAAATTTTTACACATACGTACACATTTTGCAAATAAAAGGTTATCTCATGAGATATATTCACATAGTTGTCTGTTTACTGATAGCGAACTATCACGAATCTATGGTTTTCACCAGTCAAGAAATAAATTTATCTATCGGTAACATCCTCCTGGGCTAAAAATCTTTATCGAACTGCTTCCATGGTACTCCTCCTATTCATGTTCCGACAAAGTACAGGTCCAATGTAAAGTGTCATAAAAATAAATTTTTTTGTGTTACGGAAAGAGAATAACAGCAATAATCTAACGAAAACTTCCATACCACAAATAACAACTCTATATTCCCTTCAAGCCCCAGCTATCCCAAATGACCAATCTTAAAAAAATTTTTTGGTTGAACATATGAGTCGATCTAAGTCAGGCAAACATTGAAAACCTGGAAGCGCCGTCTCCTCAGAAGTGCACATCCATGAACCAGTGATCAAAAACTTTCGGTCTTGTATGCGAACGCATATCCTCTTAAACAATGATCTGGGACTCGATGATATACAAGCCTAACTTCAATTTGATGGGATTAGAAAGCGAGATTAAGTTTTTTTGGCTCGTTATCATTTTTGTTTAATATTACTTTCGTTTTAATTCAATGTGATGATTATTCAGTGTGACATGTGCTTTATTTTCCAATGTGATATTTTATTCGATATAACACTGACTTACTTGAGTGTGGCGTTTGTTCAAGATACGATATTCTTGTATTAAATTAACATAAACTATGCTCAGCATAACATGAACCATGTGATTTGTTATAAGTCTCGGTATTTTTCATAAATGTATTTTTATTCTAATTAATAATAAAAATAGGTGCATTTTCGACTAGGGTCAGCGTGTTTTGTTTTAATAAATCTTCGCTTGTACCAGTCTTGGTGTTCTTACTTCGCGCCATGAGAGGTGCAGCGGTCCCTCGTTTTACATGTATAAGTAACAAGCGATTCCGACATAACAATTTACAACCAGCCATAACACAATCAATCCACGATGTTGCAAGATAACGTTCCATAGTCTTTAGTGAATACATCTGTCACAACCAAAACGGTTCAGTTCCGCTGGTCGCGGCTGAACGTTATGAAACAGAATTTTCTTTAAATCAATATGTGAACTTTAGGACTGGTTTCTTTCTAAATGTATTTGGTAATTTAGCATCTCTAACACTTTGAATTAGGTACAAGCCGGGTTTAAAATCAATCGGGATACAAGCAATGACCTCCTTAAAAGCAAGTATATTGACAGTGAATGCCCGTGGTCATCAATAACCTGTTTACAGCTTCGTATAACTGATGATATGAAAGAAGAGATAAGTGAAGCCTGGAAGCACAAACCTAAGTAAAACTGAACGTCATCTTGTGTAAGCCCTGGTATATTCGATTGTTGAGAAAAATCCAGTACTGTATTTCTTTTTGTTATACGTCTATGATATTGAGCAAGATCAATAACAAATAATGGTACATATTTATTATGAATATCTCACCTACAGTCACGTAGTGTGTAACAGATAACAAAAAAGAAACTTCCACAAACTGTAAATTCGCTGAGCCACTACAGATATCAGTTTTACAAAACACAACAACTCATGTGGATAACACTCAACCAGCCAATGGGTTAAACATAAAAGAACCTGTCTTGAGCAATACTTTCCAGTTGCTATTCACCCTTTTCATGCCTGCTTCTGATTATCAATGTACTGTGAGATTTGGCCTTTCTCTTTCCCATTTCTATTCAAGAATTCAAGTTACCAAACCCTTCATCCGGTTCAGCAACACTCTATTGAAAACGTTTCCTGGTATTGATAGTAGTGTGATGCCCCTGCAATTATCACAGTCGCGCAGACCTCCTTTATTTGGTACCTTTCCAGTTTGTCGGCACTTGTTATTCCTCCCAAATCTTCCTGAATAGAACGTGAAGCATGTTTGCAGTTACTTCTATGTCTGACTTTAAGACTTCAGCTGGTATAATGTCAGGTCCTGTTACTTTCCTATTCTTGATTTGTCTGATGGCCACAATTGATGGGAGTGGAGTGGCATCTATAGAAAGGTCTGCGTGTGCTGCTTCGATGTCTGGTGAATTCAATCGAGCTGGCCTACTCAAGAGTTTCTCACAGTATTCTACCCACATATTCCTCTGTTCTTGAATCTCGGTGATTGGCCTGTCTTCTTTATCCTTGACTGGTCTCTCTGGTTTACTATGTTTCCTTACTAGTTTCTTCGTTGTGTCATATAGTTGTTTTATATTTCCTTCTGTGCAGCTTTTTACATTGTCGTTGTTAGGTCTTCCACGTATTTCTTATTGTTAGCTTTAATGCACTTCTTCACTTTCTTGTATGCTTCTGCGTACTGTGCTTGTGCCTTGACTTTTTCTGCTTGTATCCGACTGTTGTTAATTGCTGTTTTCTTGTTCTTCCTCTCTTGAATCCTATGCAGGGTTTCCAAAGTGATCCATTCCTTATGATGATGCTAGTAGCGGCCCAGCGGCTCCTGACACGTTGAAGTTAGTGATTCTTTTTTTCCTTTCCAATCGTCCTCCATAGTAGTTTCTTCTTTAAGTATATCTTGTAAGGCTCGGAATATGTTGTTGAGAGTTATCTTGAATTGGTCGAGTTTGTTAGTTTCTTTAAGGAAGGGTGTATTGAACCTTTGTAATGCTGTTTCCCCAATTGTCCAGTGTTTCTTAAGTTTTAGTTTCATCTTAGCCACAACCGAGTGGTGAACTGAAACTATGTCAGCACTTCTCCTGGATCTCACGTTTTTCATTATCCTTCTGAATTTTTTATTGATACAAAT